CATCTGTGGTGGACAGATGCTCCGGAATGGCAAGGCGCGGTTTCGCCAGGTGACGAGCGCCACGTTGCGCGTCTCCCCTCATCGTCGGAAGACCACGTCACCAGGTATGCAGGCTTTTATTTATTCATGATTGAATTCCCGTAATTCACCGAGTGCGCACGATTTTATAATATCGTAGTTTTTCTAGTTTACAAGTGATAAATTTTAAAAATCAACTTGGATAATAATTGAGAATTTCTCATGTCTTCGCGTAAGATGGCCTATTGCTGTGGCGAGTCTAATATCTTCAACTACTATTTAAAACTCATTTATGTCAGGTAATTACCATGTTTTGTACATTCCGCAGGGTGTCATGGTTGGTTATGGGACAGAAGGACAGCTATATGTTAGAGATGAGGCTGCAGAGACCAACGAGAGGTATCCTCTCTCTGAAGTAACCCGCATCGAGGGCACGGAATCGTCAGCCAACTTGGATTGATATGAGAACGATCTGGCACCAACACCTTCTTACAACGACAGGCTGCGTGTTGCCCCAGAGGAAACACGCCAGTCCTGTTGACTGGCCCCACTGAACCTCAAGCTAACAGGGAAAAGATGACTCAGGTTCGTAACATTAGGTACCAGATATTAACAATGTTTTTTATAGTAGGCACTATAGGAGCTATTAAGTATGGAAGCTGTAATAATGGCTGATGGAATCATATTAGGATGTAACTTATAAATTTTGTAGGCATTTATATTTATGATTTCTATACTCTATATATATTTATATTTTATATATTATATATATATTTATTTATATTTATATATATATATTTGATGTTTATTAACGACAATGTTGTTTATTTTCTGCAGATCATGTTTGAGACCTTCAACACCCCAGCCATGTACGTCGCCATCCAGGCTTGTCCTGTCTGCTTGTACGGCTTCCGGACCGTCACCGACGCGGGTATCGGTTTGCTGGACTCGGGTGATGGTGTCAGCCACACCGTCCCATCTACGAGGGTTACGCTCTGCCCATGCCATTATCCGTTTGGACTTGGCTGGCCGCGATCTGAGCGACTACCTGATCAAGATCCTAACCGAGCGTGGCTTACAGCTTCGTCACCACCGGTAGGATCTCGCGTTAGTATTGTAGTTAAGAATAATACTATAAATTGCCCATAAGTGTAATACAACAGAATACGCCGCTACAACTTATTATATTATATGGAATTAAGTAACTAATCGTATTCGTTTTGGCCCTATGCAGCCGAGAGAGAAATCGTGCGTGACGTGAAGGAGAAGCTGTGTACGATCGCCAGCTTGGGACTCGAGCCAGGAAGAAATGGCACACGCTGTGCCTTCCTCCTGCCTGGGAGAAGAGCTACGGGCTTCCCGACGGACAGGGTCATCACCATCGGCAACGAGAGGTTCCGTTGCCCAGAGGCCCTCTTCCAGCCATCCTTCTTGGGTAGGTAGCATTACGATAGTATAACAATGTTGGTGTATTATCGTTTGGCCAATACCAATCATCGTAGTTAACGGAGTTATCAATATGAAAAAAGCCGTTAAAACAATGGGTCGAAGAATTGATGCATGAATTCATTTACGTACTGGGGAGGAATAGGTGAAGTAGCCGAATAGTATATGCTACTGTTATTATTTCTAACCTTCGCGTCTCTGCCCACAGGAATGGAATCCCATGGTATCCACGAGGCTGCCTACAACTCCATCATGAAGTGCGACATTGATATCCGTAAGGATCTGTACGCCAACACCGTCCTGTCCGGTGGCACCACCATGTACCCAGGTATTGCCGACAGAATGCAGAAGGAGATCACAGCCCTTGCCCCAAGCACCATGAAGATCAAGATCATTGCCCCACCAGAGAGGAAGTACTCCGTATGGATCGGTGGCTCCATCCTGGCTTCCCTGTCCACCTTCCAGCAGATGTGGATCAGCAAGCAGGAGTACGACGAGTCCGGCCCAGCGATTGTGCACCGCAAGTGCTTCTAAGCGCTGTCGCCATCGTCATGATCTTCATCACCATCGCTGCTTTTTGAGATCTACCACGCAGGGCTGTACCACGCGTCAGCACAAACGACGCGTTCTGGCTGCGCCTGCCCGCTTCTACCGTGACATTGCTATAACGTACAGGAAGATACCGCGTAGATTGAATGGTTGCCGGTAGCTCGACATTAGCCGCAACCCACCTGTACACATTCGGGACAGTGCAATGTCATTCGGACATTAGGAAACGATAGCCTTTGGTCTTTCACGAGGCCGCAACACTCAACTGTATTTTGTTTTGTACTTGAAACGTTTTTGTTTACTTCATATTTGATCACTGCCTTTATGAGAAAGAAAAATCAAATTGTATCACATGTTGAATCCATGCCTTTGTTCAAATATCAATATATGCTACGTTTTCTACATTGCTTGTTTATCACTTATTTTATGTTTGTAGCGACTAGCTTGATCTACTATCTTACCCTTTAACTGTCAATCCATTTCCCTCTACCTCCACCCATTCACAGAGCCAGTGTCAGACATATACCTTACCCAAACAACTTCCATATACAATTTATCGGGACCAATTCGTCCACGATATTTCGCTTCCTTGCATCAGCTTAATACAAACTACAGCGTAAACAAACATCCAGTATACTCTGTCATAATTACAGTCTTTCGTATTACATCGCGAAGTCCCTTATACGTGCGTCTACTTAGAATACGTAAAATGATTGCGAACAACTGCAGGATAATACTTAATGAGTTCTAACGAATGCTAGTAGTTCCACAAAATTTTAATCTACTTATATATATATAGATATATATATACATATTTATTTATATATATTTATTTAACATTTATAATTATGTATAATAAACAAGAAAGCAAAAAACACACGTGCTTGATTACACACCAGTAGCGCATCGACGAAACCCTGTAGCCGTATACGAAAATACAAAGATATCAATGTATTTTGTCGGAGCGTTGGCTAAGCAGCTCATCTTGCGAATATGTCATTGAATCCTTCTAGCGGTCAACCATAATAATGACTTAATTTAATTAGAACTTAGAACTTTAATCGCCATTCTTATGGCACATACGTATGTGCATACATATGCAACCCATGATATCGCCGCCTGCCACATTAGCAAATATTCTAGAATTTTATCTGTTCCCCAGGCTAAAATGTGGGTTCGCGCATGCGCAGTAACAAACTAAATAACTGATATTTTGATTCAAAAACGTATTTAAACTGGAGCGGGGTAGCCGTTTGTAGATTTATGCGATAAAAGTCTATTGCTATATGGCTCTTGTAAAAGATGGTACAACGCCCTAGCTTGCAGGGTACACTTGACATAATGTTTCTGGCAGCATTCTCTCAGATACATGCACGCGTATATATTCATCGAAAAACGAGTCATTTTAACAGATACTGGGCATATGCAACCCAGGATATGGCCGCCTGCCACATTAGCAAATATTAAGAAATTTTATCGATGTTCCCCAGGCTAAAATGCGGGTTCGCGCATGCGCAGTAACAAACTAAATAACTGATATTTTGATTTAAAAACGTATTTAAACTGAAGCGGGGGTACCCGTGTGTAGATTTATGGAATAAAAGTCTTTTGCTATGGCTCTTGTAAAAGATGGTACGACGCCCTAGCTTGCAGGGTACACAGGACATTGTGTTTCTGACAGCATTCTCTCAGATACATGCACGCGTATATATTTTCACCGATAAACTCGTCGTTTTAACAAGATACTGCGCATATGCAAACCCAGGATACTGGCCGCCTGCACATTAGCAAATATTATAGAATTTATTTATGTATGTATCCATTGCTGAAATGCAGAGTTCGCGCATTTGCGCAGTGAAAAACTAAATAACTCATATTTTTTGATTCAAAAACGTATTTAAACTGGAGCGGGGGTATCCGTGTGTAGATTTAATGGATAAAAGTCCATTGGCTCATGGCTCTGCAAAATGGTAGGGGACACGCCCTAGGTTGCAGGGTTTACCCCGAGACATACTGTTTCTAGGCAAGGCATTCTCACAGATACAGGTAACTTGATATATTCACTGTCAAAACTCAGTCCATTTTTAACATGATTACTAGGCATATACAAACCCATGATATGGCGCCTGCCACATAACAAAATTATATATAGAATTTGTTATCTATGTTCGCACAGCTAATATGGCGGGTTAGCGGCATGCGCCTGTAACCAAATAATAATTAATATTTTGATTTCACAAAACGCATATTTAAACTGGAAGGGGGGTAACGCTGTGTAGAATATATGAAATAAACGTCTTTTGCAATGACTCTTCGTAAAAGATGGATACGACGACCTAGCCTTGCAAGATACCCGGACATCTATGTTGCTGGTAGCTTCTCTCAGATACATTGGCGCACGTATATATTCTCGAAACTAGTCATTTAAACAGAATTACTGGGCATATGGCCCCCCCCCCATATATTGTTCCACAGGCTAAAAATGGGAGTTCGCGCTGCGCAATAACAAACATAAATAAACTAGATATTTTGATTTCAAAAAACGTATTTAAACGCGAGCGGGGGTAGCCCGTGTGATAGATTTTATGGGATTAAAAGTCTATTGCTATCGCTCTTGTAAGAAAGATTAGGTCGCGCCTACTCGCAAGGGTACACCATGCAGAAGACATAATGTTTTCTACGCAGAGTTCTCTCAAAGATTTACTCGTGTATATATTTTGCCGAAAAAACTCGTTCATTTAATTATTTGTTTTACTGTCTAATTCCTTTCTCGACGAAATAGGACAATACGAATAGGAAAACGTTGATAATCTTATAAGTTTCCATTCAAGGTGTTTGCAGTGAAAAATATATTAAAAGGAAACCCATCCTGCGGCGGCATGCAAAAAATTTATTCTAAAATCAGAACTTAATATCCAATTAATTAAAATAAATTAAAAGTAATCAATACTGATTACAACCCAACATTAAAGGGAAGCTTACAATGGGCTACGCCCTTTCAATGCATTTAGGAACAAAAGTGAATGAGTAGCATAGTTCATTATATCGTAAGTACTTTCCTTTGACAGTGGATATCGATTCAATTCCCTTATAATTGCTCGGATTAAATTGAAAAAGAAAAAATTGTCGGTTTAGCTGTCTGGTAAAAGTTGCACTCAAATTTTACTAGTATTAAGTGAGCAGTCTTTGCCCGTCCCTGAACCACAACAGTGCCATATGCTTTTGGATTCAAATAATTTGCCGAACAAGGGCTTTTCGCAACTAAGCCGATTTCTCGTACAACATGGACGCAAAACTGTCAAAATCTTATATTATGAACTCCCTACCGTTTCTTTTTAATTAGAATCCACTAACAGATATATTCGTAGGC